CAAGCTGTGTGACATTGGATGGGACCTTAATCTTCTTCATGTTACTGCTTCCTCATTGGCAGAACATGGAAGTTAAGCTAACTAAGTATCCATCTATTTACCCAATCATTTCTAAAATGATTCATCATGAGATTACATTATTATTTATCACCTTTACAGTTTCTTTCAGCTCTCTTAATAGTTAATCAAATCATTTCCTTGCCTAGAAATGTTCAACTACCAACTTCATCAAAAGGCAACTATTTCCATGGTCTGTGTATCCATCCATCCATCCATCCATCCATCCATCCATCCATCCATCCATCCATCCATCCATCCATCCATCTATCTGCCCATCCATCCCTTAATTCATTCCATAAGCATTTATTGCATGGTATTACATGTTAGGCAATATGTTAAAAGACCTGGTTAATATACAGGAGAACATGTCACTCTAATATGCGACTCTAAGCCCACAGATTTATATATAACATATAAAGGGCATGTATAAGTGCCTTAATGGCATATATCACAGAGGTCTGATTTGGCTAGGGAGGGCAGTCAAAGGAAAGTCCTCCAAAGAGACAAACTAAACAGAGTGTTGGACCAAGGAGCTGGTTGGGGGTCATACAAACATGGCAATGGCAACAGTATGTTGGGTGCTACTCTGGGCCTGCCTTCTGGTAATGTGGTAGCGAATCCATCCGTTCATGTTTCCAAATTGCTTGTTGCTGAAAAACACCATTATTTCCTTGACAAAAAGGAATTGAGAAACATAAAAAAAAGTAGTGAGATCCCAAAGAAAGTATTTAGTTCCATAAAAGCTTATACATGAGACAATGCAAGAATTTTCAGAAGTGAAATGATTGGGCTATGAAAGTCTTAACCTAGTCACTGACTTAATCTATAGATATGGATTAACTGGAAGGGAACTGTAGGCATGTGATGTGTGACTGGATGATAGCTTACTGGGGGTGTGACATTGGGGTTTATATTTTGTCCTTGGTAAACAAAACTCTCTGCTGCTCATAGCAATGTCCTGAGCTGCTTTTCTTGGCTATGCCCTTCTGCCATGATGTTGTGCCTCACATCACTTTTGGGCCCAGAGCTATGGAGTCAGCCACCTAACGGCCTGAGATATCTGAAACCATGTGCCCCAAATAAACTTTTCCTCCTCTACATTGTTCTTGTCAGGTCTTTTGCTTGCAGTGACAAAACAGCTGACTAAAGCAGAAAGTGTCTGCTGAACTCAGATTTCACCATTTCTTATTTTGCCACCACTTCTTCCTGGGCAGCACCTCCAACTCCTTTAGCTGACACCTTGAGGAAGTCACTCAACTTCCCCGGGTCTCGATTTTCTCATCTATAAAACATGAGGTTTGGGTTATATATATGATATCTCAGATCTTATATTCAGCATTCTATGTTGATAAAAATATACCTGAGCTAGTGAGGAGAGGGAGGAGAAGCCATGAATCCTACAAAGCAGACTTGTGAGTATATTTAAAAAAAAAACAACACAAAAATCAACTTGCATTCATGGCACAACAAAATGTTGTAGGAATTGTAGCTATTGAAATGCAGGTTGGATGGAACCAAAAATAGCTAATGCACCCACAGTTAATGCAGGGAAACTGTGAGGAAGCGTTTCCTTGGCGATCGAGTTACTTAAAGGTAAAGTAACTAGGTTCGATCAAAGACTGGTTTCTCAATTTCTTCTCCTCTCTATGGGCTCTTCAATTGTAATTCAGTGTAAAGGGAAAAAATTGTCGACAAATACATTCCACTGAAAAACAAAGGTCATCCAAAAATATCAAGAAAAGGGCAGTCCGGTTAAATCCAAACAAGCAAGAGTCATAGGAGAGGCATACACAGTTCCTGTGTACCCTTGAATGCCTGCATGTGCCTCAGAACTACATCCACCCAAAGCTATTTCCTGTGGATCTCTCAAGCTCTAAAATAATTTGAGAGAAGCAATATCAGAATTAATAGGAATCTGACGTCTGTCAATCTGAATGTAAAGCCTTAGATTGCAACCCAAAGTCAGCTCTTTCTAGAGAAGGGAAAAGGACAATAGCTGCTATTTCTTACCATGCATAATCAATGCTGCAAGGGTTGCTAGGCAACAGCAGAAAGGCTGTCAAACATCCCCAAGTGCCTCCAATGGAAGAGAAGCAACCCGGCAGCCACTCCACAGAGGTGAGAGGCTGGGCAGTCCTGGAAGCTGTGTTCAGTTTGTTCATTTCTTTAAAAATCCCTTAATAGTAGTTAGGGCTAAACCATAGACAGTTTCCTCCCAGGCTCATTTAGCCTTTTGAATATGCTTTCATTTGGCCCAAAGCCATAAAAATGAACACAGTAAGCTGAAGAGAGGCAGCTCTGTGAAAGGTCCATAGGTTATTCTGAACTAGTTTACCCTGGAGCTTGTGGAAGATCCAACTTATCCCTTTCATGGTTTCAGCCTCTGAGTTCCAGAAAGTTTAAATGGGTACCCTCTCTGAAGTGTGAAATTACTCTAGCTAACATAAGCAAAACCTCTAATTTCAACATTCACATTCAAGGTCATCAAGATAAGAATTCTTAGTTTTGTGAACATGAAATTAGAGTGAATTTTTAATCTGCAGGACCTATTTTCTTTCTATTTGAGATGACAGCTTCATTTGAATTTCAACAAGAAGACAAAGTAGCAGAGAGAAGTCAGGATTTGATAAAGGGTTGAGTCCTCCCTCTCTCCCCTTTTAACCAGTGTTGTTTAAAGAGCAAACACTCATCATTGGTCACTAATTTGCAAAAAACTTATTTGGCAATCCAGAAGATATCTTGGAGTATGTGAAGATGAGGTCCTGGGTCTGGTTCAAGATGGGATTAGATTTGTCATTGGAATTTAACCAGAGAAGGGCCCCATGGACAGTAGTGATGGATGATATAATCAAAGAGAAGCAAGCAGTGGGCAAGAAAGTGAAATAGTCTTTTTTAAGGCCAGTTCAAGGTTAAATGTCGTCACAACCAGTTAACCCTGCCTTATTAGTGATTCAATCCCTAAAGTCATATTTTAGCATGTGTTCAGAAGGAAATAGAACATAGATTGAGGGTATCCTAGATTTTGCTATGCAAGACCCTCTCTTTAAGGGCATTGCAAAAAATATAGAGAAATAGGCACAGAATAAAAGATGGTACTAAGATGAAAGGCTATACCCACTGAGAAATGTGTTGGCTCTATAGCTGTATCTGGCTGAGGTCTCTCAGTTATTTCTATACTGTCATGTAGGATTCCTGAATCTTTCAGGATTTTCCCCAATTCACAGTCCCACCATAAAGTGAATTCAGGGTCAGAAGGCTTGGCTTAGCTTCCTGGATAGCCTCTAAGTAGCAGTGCAGAACATGGGCCCAGAACATGTCTTCTGTTTCCTCCCCTAAACACACAGCTAGGCTAGGATTAGATGTTCCCTAAAATTCTTCCAACTGTAACATTTGATCAGTCTATGAATTTATAAAAATAGAGACACCTTTGGTCCCACTTCTCCAAAAGTGGGGGGAATAGAAGGAAAAAGCAAAAACTACAGATATAACACTGCCAAATGTTCTGAACATTTTGTGCTAAAAAAAGATAACAACGAAACTTTTTGAGTAAATCAAAGAAAGGAGGAAGTAATCGCAACAGCGGGAATTAAACATCTCTTGAACTCCCAATAGGATTCTTACTTTGACACCATCTACCCCATTTGACCTCGCATCTCTCTAGAATCTCACTTCCCCTTCCCTTTCACCTTTCTCAATCTTCCTGTTCATTTTCCTGTCTTGGGAGAGATGATGTTTGCTTGATTGATTTATTACCTCTAGAAGGGTTTGCCCTTTATTCACTGAAAAGTGTAGCTCTTAGGAGCCTTCTCTGAGAGTTTTGGAGCATCCTTCCAACATGTTAATTTCATTCAACAAGAAGAACAAATGTACAGTTTTTCTATTGCTAAATATACCAGTCGTGGAATATGCACCTGATTTTAAAGAAATGAAAAGTTTTCCTGGTGAAAACTAGTAAACAAACAAACAAATAAAACCCCATCATTGATACAAATGTTCCTTGTTTGGCAGAGATACAATACAACACACAACAACAACAACAACAACAACAAAACTAAACCATCTTATATTATACCAAGGAGTTAAGTTTTACTATGGTAGCCAAATCCATATCATTTAGCTCTTAATTCAATCTATAAATGCATGCTTCTTTTAAGTGCTTGGCATATGCTACCTAATACCTTAGTGAGGTTTTAAAAACTTTTTGATAATGCATATATAAGAGATCTGTTAAAGTTTTTTGTGCTATTTTTGTTAATCCTTGGATTTTACAAAGCTCAATGGATTTTTTTATCCCCTTTAATGATGTTATCTTATTGAATAATAAGGTCTTCTTTCTGAGTTTTTGGGGATGACTATGATGAAGGACTCTCAGACTTCTTTCCCATTACTAGAAACTGAATGTCTTCTGGCATGGTGGAATCCACAGGAGACATCACCCACCCCTTGATGAAATCAAGCCTGCACTTATAAAATCCTATGGCTTTGGAAGAATTCTATAGACAAGGTATAGTATGAAAGGAGAACTCAGTGGAACAGGCTGCCAGAAGTGAAGTCCTCCTCCCTTCCAGAATCTCCGACATACAACAAACTCAACTGAGCATGGCATAAGTTCCAAGAAAACTGGGGAGACAAGTTAGAGTCTCCAAGACTTCCTGACATCACTGATCTCCATCCAAAATTCTGGAAGCATGGAAAAGAATGGGTATCTCAGAGTTATTTAAGGCCTGTGGACTGGTTGGTTGCCCCTGAGCAGAACCACTAACAGTTGAATGTACCCCATTCTGACTGCCCATTTAGGTAAAGGAATTTGAACACATTCACCATAATAAGCATAACTGACTCTCGAATTGGCCACCAAAATATTAAAAAATAAAGAAAAAAACTTCCACACATCAGTGTGACCGTGGTGGATCAGGAGACATTTTGAAACGTTCTCTTACCTTCACTGCCACCAAGATCTTATCCTGCTCAGGACAGAGGTTATAGCATTCAGCTAGGAAAACTTTTCCAAAGGCTCCTTCACCTAGCTCCCTTTTCAGAACGATGTTATGTCGCTTGATGTGCTGAACAACTGTAAAACAAACACAGAATTTGGAATTATAGTGTGTTGAGGTGAAGACAGAGGGTGGGGACTCCAGGACACATCCTGTGAACTTGCAGACCCAAGATCCTCCCTCCTCCACATACTGTGAACCAAAGGGGAGCACATTGTCCACCTTCACAGCACACCCCAAAGACTGGCACAGGTTTTGTTGGCTACTTTCCAGAACCCAAACATTGTTTTTGATAAAATTAGATAACTAGCTGTTGGCTGCAAGATATGACTAATGAACTTTACAGACTGGGAAAAGGAAAAAAAAATGAAGAAAGAATTAACATTAACAGCAAGTCTTTTACAAGCCAGATTTGTTGGTCAAATATCCCCTGGGAAAGGCAGAGGGATCCCAGGAATCCCTCAGTTTTTATGAAGACAGACTCCTGAGGGAGATAGCCTCAGAGGACAAGAAAAAGTGCAGATCTATGCATTGCTAACAAAGACTTTGGCCTCACCCTAGTTCTAGTTTTCCAGTGAGGTAGCTCACTAGACCATGGTTGAACCTTGGTGACTACTTTTGTTTATACAAGAAATGATTCTCTGTCTAACGCCTGGCTTACTTAGCCCCTTTCTAAAATAATGTCCTGGCCTTGGCTCTCCATAGCTAAGAAGAGACAAAAATAGATGAATAAGAAGACAGGCTATTTTCCTTATGCTCTGGAGCTGGCCAAAGTCACTCATGCATATGCTTCATGGAGATCAAGGCAGGAGGCGGTCAAGTGTTCTTAATAAGCCCATTGGCTGCAAGGTGGAAACCAGAGAAAGGCAAAAGATAGGGCAGAGCTAATAAAGAAGCTCAAAAGGAGACTCTGTAGGCAAAACAATAGTACAAGCTTGAGCCTCTTTGCCCAGCACTTTGAAGGTTTAATCCCTTAGCTAGGGGATTCCCCCAGTCTGAATCTTTTTTGAACTCTTTGTCCCTAAATTGGTAGCACAGCTGGCCTTCTGTATCTTTCACTCTCACATCTGTGGATTAAACAAGTTTGTATAGAAAATATTTGGAAAAATAATAATTGTGTCTGTACTAAATATGTACAGACTTTTGTTTTCTTGTGATTCCTGAAATGATGCAGTATAGCAGCTATTTGTATAGCAATTATATTCTATTAGGTATCAAAAGTAATCTAGAGTTGATTTGAAGAATTGGGGAGGTTATACATAGATTATATACCAACACTATACCACTGTATATATGGAAATTGAGCATCCTGGATTTTGGTATCAGAGGGGGCTTCTGGAACTAATCTCACATAAATACCCAGGGAAGACTATTTTTTAAAAAAGATTGTGCTGGGTAGAGTGGCACATGCCTGTAATCCCAGAAACTCAGGAGGCTGAAAGAGGAGGATCACAAGTTTGAGGCCAGTCTCAGCAATTTAGTGAGATCCTCAACAACTTATCAAGACCCTGTCTGAAAATAAAAAATAAAAAGGGCTTGAGATACAGATAAAGTGTCTCTGGATTCAATCTCTAGTAGCTATGTACATATAGAGAAAGATCATGATCTTCTCTAGAGTATGGAATTGGAAGCCAACAATGTTGTCTTAGCTCATTCTCACAACCCTGTGAACCCTTCTTTGTGTTTTATAAATGGGGAATAAGTCTGTAGGAACTTCAAGTATTCTTGGTCTGGCAATGGGGATCTTGGATTTGATCCCAAATCTATCTGAATTCAGAGTCCACTTTTTTCCTATACCACAAAGTCTCTTTTTAAATTTAAAATTGTGGTAAACATAACAAGGATTTGATGTATATAAGAAATAAAGGTAAAAATAATTTCTCTGCTTCCCTTCTGCCTCCCTTAACCGTTAAGGTCTAGCTGAGGTTATAACTCCCTTAGAGAACATTCTGGGACAACCCTGATGGTCTAAGACCTCATTCCTAAACTCATCTCCTCACTGCCTAGGCTTGGTGACATTTCCACATTTATAAGTTCCCTGAGTTTCTGAGTGGGCCTGGTCTACCTCCTGAACCCTTATACATCTTAGGTGCTCAGGACAAAGTACAGCTTTAGTATGGTGGTGTACTTTGATAACTTTTCTTTAAAAGTATTTTCTTCTTGATTTTGAACTATAATTTTAAAAACAAAAATATGTAAAGCACTCTGCACTTTAAAGAATAATAAAATGAGTACCTATGAATCCAGCATCCATTTAGGAAACAGATTATCATTAAAGGTTGAGCATTCCTTATAAAAAATGCAAGAAACCAAAAATGTTTTGGATTTTAGATATTTTTGGATTTTGGAATATTTGCATATACATAATGAGATATCTTGGAAATAGGACCCAAATATAAACATGAAATTCACGGATTATTTTATACTTCTTATATCTATAGCCTGAAGGTGATTGTATACAATATGTTTAGTGTGCAGAAGGACAGGTGAGGAATTATTCTCTTGTGGTATCATGTTGGTGCTCAAAAACTTGGATTTTAAGCATTTTGGATTTGGAATTTTTGGACTAGAGATGTTCAATCTATAGCACCTAAGAAGCACCACTGCCTCACTGGGTTCTTTCTTTATGTAACTAATTTCTTCCTTGTCTTCCAGGGAGATCACTACCTTAATTTTGTATTAATCATTTTCTTTATTATTTTGTTTCTAATGCTATGTATCCTATATTCCCTAGTAAAAGATTATTCAGTCTCACCTGTTTCAGAACCTACATCAATGGACTCAAGGTACATATATTCCAGATCTCCCATCTTTCATATAACCATGTCGCTGAGATTGAGTTACTGTGTGTGTGTGTGTGTGTGTGTGTGTGTGTGTGGCAGTAATTCTTTCCCTTTTATTACTTTAAAATGTTCTGTGGGAGGACTGTACCTTCATATATTTATCCATTCTAAATTGATGGATAACCTAGTCTTTTTAAGATACAACTTTATTTAAAGTTCAAGGGGTTATTAAAGTTTGGCTTTAATGGGATTTCTTCCCCTTGATAATTTGAGTGGTTTTGATCCATAAATGCTTGAGCCTCGGGAACTCAGGGTGATGAAACCAAAAGGTCTTTTTATGAGCAACTATATTAATGGATATGGGAATGAATATTAATTTCTCATGTTTCAGTAGCAACACCTGAATTTAAGAGTAGAGAAATGCGTTAATTAGGAAGAGTGCCCATATCAAGACCCAAATGTGATTTCTGCAGAGAATTAGCTGCCCTATTTAAATCTAATATTTAACTCCATGGCTGTCACATGTTCATTGGGAATTAAATTGCCACTTGATTTACTTTACACTATAACCAGGCCAAGGCAAGTATTTAACCAGTTTTGCATTTGATTTAGACACTTTTTTTCTTTTAATATTCTAATCAGAAGAAAAAGATGGTGGAAATAAATTTTTAAAGACACAATTAATTTCATCATTTTGAAAGCCACAATTGATGAGACCAGTTTCCCACGTTGACCTTGAAAGCAGAAAATGGACCTCTTCTTTAGGAAATGGGTTATTTGCATTTTTTTTTTGCCTTTGTTGTGGTTTGGGTTTTAAATTATCTGAACAATGTTCATTTGCTGATGTATTATCTCTATACAGAATAAATTTCTCTCTCATAAGACTGGAAGCCACTTAGGGACACAGGTAAAGATTTTTATTTGTACTTGTATTACTGGCAGGGCCCAACAATGCTTTGCATACAGTTTGTGTTATATAAATATTTCTGAAAAATATGTTTGAGGATAATAAACACAGACAGATACTGCTTCACTATATTATCTCAGCCCTATGGGGTATGTAGGTAGCACATGCCCATTCTCTGAGGTGTCAGGAATGGGGAGAACAGCTAATCTGGAGCTTCCATATTCCTGAACTAAGGATTTCTCCCCATTCTCCTCCATGAGAGCATCAGGACCTATCCACACCTGCCTCACTTCCTCTTTCTGTTAAACAGTACAGGAAGTCCCTCCTCACCCAACCTTTCACCCCAACAGTGCTCTTACTTGTGCCAGACAAGGTTCAAATCTTCTCCTCTCTTGGAAACTCCTCCAGGGTGCCCCCTTGGGCTCATCACTTGCCATAATACAAATGCCTTATCTCAAACTTTCATTAAACTTTCTTTTGCCTCTACTAGTCAAATGAAAACCTGGCTGTGTCTGGCACCCATACCTACCCTGTATGGCTCTTCAGAGGAAGGCATCCCACCTGTTATCTGGGTTTTGTCAGCACGGCATGCCTGTTTCACCATGACTGCTCTCCCTTCTGCCAGGGGCCCAGCTATCCTGCAACATGTCTTAGGGAGCCATCAGCCGGCACCTCTCTGCCCCTCATGCTGACATCCTGGTGATGCCCCTCACCCACCTGTGTCACTCTTTCCGTCTTTGCCCTGCTGCTGTCTTCCTTCTCAGGATCCAGAAACAGAGAGATGGAGTAACTTGCCTAAGCTGCAGACTCGTAGGGCCACCCTTTATTCTCTGTCTTTCAATAGAGGAGCTCAGAGGCCACAGGTACTGGAAGGTTTGGTTTGGTTGTTTGGCATTAAGCTGACTTTTTCTGGGAGCAAGACTGTCTTCATCAAGGAAGCGGTGCACTTATTGCTGTGGGTAATAAGCTTGCCCACTGTGTGCAAGCTCCTTAGATCACTGTATACTCGTACTTTGAATATAACTGTCTTAAAGGTCTATGCAAACATTTTGATTCATTTCATCACATATATTTGGAGTGAGGTGAATCTAAGGATTCCACAATAAATAAGACAACATTTTTACATGCTTCTTTTCTCTTAGATCAGTCAATTTCCTGTTCTTCACTTTGGAGACTTGATATGCTTCTCTATTCTCCTCCATGAGAGCATCAGGACCTATCCACACCTGCCTCACTTCCTGATTTTTGAGCAAAATCACCTCATTCTCAACATGAATTATAAATAAATTATAATAAATTGTAATTATAAATAAATAAATAATTCCAATAAAATCTACCACAATGGCTTCCTGTATTTGGAGGAATATTCAAAACAATAGTTAATTTT